CACTGACAGCCAAACAATAGAGCCATGGCTTATATGTGGTATGCACGATAAAAATAAATATATTTGTAGAATTAAAGAGGAAAGAAGAACATTACTCCTGAATGTTAAAACCAGCCAAGTATCATGTGAACAAAAGAAGAGGAAACTAACAATATTGGCTGGTTATTTTTAGTCTCCCTGCTTCTTGACCAAGACTGCTGCCCCAAAAGAATCTTATCATGTATTTACCAGATCACAGGAGCAAAGAAACAGAATCTTGTGTTCAAGTGACACTTGAGACATTTTTGGAAATCCTTTAAAAGGTATTTTAATAAAATTTTCACTAAATCTGAGTTCATTTTATGACACTTCTAGACTATCCCACTCCCATCGGATTTATGGGTCAGACAATATCCTGTATTGTTTAGGGTTCATTTGTAGCTTGTCCTCCTCTCTTTTTTTAACCGGATTGGAAGATTAACAAACAAAAAAAATGAACAAGCTAATAAGGTATGCAAATCAGCCCTACTCTGCTTTGATTCAACCATTTTGGCATAGGACCCGGGTACCTTCGAGACCGACTTCTGCCACCAATAGCCTCCCACCGGCCAGTCCGCTCCCACAGAGAGGGTCTCCTCAGGGTGCCATCGGCCAAGTTATGTTGGCTGGCAACACCCAGGGGGAGGGCCTTCTCTGTGGGAGCCCCTGCCCTATGTAATGAACTGCCCCCGGAAATGCGTAAGATCTCCGATCTCCGTGTATTTCGCTGTGCCCTCAAGACCCTGCTGTTCCGCCAGGCCGGGCTATCAATGTAATGATTTTAAATTGGGTGTTTTAAATTTTTGGGGTTTTAAATCTGAGCCGAAATTATTTAATAATTTTAATTATTTTTAATTGATGTCTGTCTTTGTGCTTTTAATAGGCTATACACCGCCCTGAGTCCTTCGGGAGAAGGGCGGTATAGAAATAAAATAATAATAATAATAATAATAATAATAATAATAATAATAATAATAATATTTATTACTGAAAAATATTTGCACAATTGGCAAGATCAGTTCAGACTATTAAACCGGACATGTGCTGAAACCTTCAAATTATCCAAATCGATTCAAACAATTCAATTCTATTTCACAACTGGATTTGGAAATTCAATTAAGAGGTTCAGCTGAATTATCAAACTAAAATTCCAAATTGAAACTTTTGTGCAACTTTGAGAAGCATACTGGATCCACTTTTCCCCTGAACAGTTGTCCAATCCCATCTTTCAAACTTTGATTAAATATCTTGCTACTCCTTATTTCTGGCAAGATTGCAGTACAACCCTTTCATTTCCACATCTTGTTCAGAAGTTGTCAATCTGTTATTGGTCTGTAAACCATGTTTAATTTCATCTCAAGTTGGGAGAGTATTAGTCCTGCAAGGTAGACTAGACTAACAAAGCAATGTTACCAAGGTCAGTATGTATGTATGTGACATTTATATGCTTATAGTAAGAGCTATAATAACAGAATATATTGAGCTATGGTAACAAAATCTTGCATGTCTGGATGTGCTTTCCCCTCCCTCCTTTTATCTCCATGTGAATTAGGGAGAAGCAAAAAACCCAACACAGTCTTAGGCTGCATTAACAAAGGGATAGAATCAAGGTCATGTGAAGTATTAGTACTGCTTTATAAAGCCTTGGTAAGACCACACTTCGAATACTGCATTCAGTCACCACAATATAAAAATGATGTTGGGACTTTGGAAACAGTGCAGAAAAGAGCAATAAAGATGATTAGGGGCCTGGAGGCTAAAACATATGAACAGTTGCAGAAATTGGGTATGTTTAGTCTAGTGAAAAGAAGGACGTGTGTGGGGGGGTGACATGATAGCAGTGTTTCAATATCTAAGGGGCTACCACAAAGAAGAGGGGAGGGGGTCAACCTATTTTCCAAAGCACTAGAAGGCAAGGAAAGAAACAATGGATGGAAACTAAACAAGGAGGGAAGCAACCTAGAACTAAGGAGAAATTTCCTAACAGTGAGAACAATTAACCAATGGAATAGTTTGTTTTCAGAAGTTATGGGTGCTCCATCACTGGAGGTTTTTAAGAAAAGACTGGACAGCCATTTGTCTGAAATGCTTGAGCAGGGGATTGGGACAGAAGATCTCCAAGATCTCCCTTCCATCTTGTTATACTGCTATTCTGTTTTCTCATATTACTTTCTTAGCCCAGGGCCAAGCTCCTCTTATCTGACCATTGCCTTGGTATAGCTCTTTCTACTGTCCTTCAAGGCCATTTCTTCTACCCTCTGCAGAAATATAGAGAGCAAGAGAAAAAAAAATAGGCAGGACAGGTTTAAAATTGATAGAAGGGGGAAAAAAGAAGAAGAAGAGATAACTCTTCTGGGAGAAACTGATTTAGAGAAATCAACAGATTGAACAGATTGCGTTCAGTAGCATGTCTTAGTTTTAGATTGTAAATACCAGAACCACTAGATGGCAGTACTTTAAAGAGAAACAGACATTTTTGCTGCCATCCATCCATCCAGAGGTCATTTCAATCACTACAGCCTATACTTGATAGCCAACTAACCACAAAATATTGTTCATTATATGCCCCAAAATGGAAATGGTCCAACCACAAACAGAATTAACCAACAAAAACTAGTAACAGTAAAAATTACATCACATCAATAAAGGCAGTATAAAGCTAAAGTAAAGGTTCCCTTTGCACATATGTGCTAGTCATTCCCGACTCTAGGGGGCGGTGCTCATCTCCATTTCAAAGCTGAAGAGCCAGCGCTGTCCGAAGACGTCTCTCTCCGTGATCATGTGGCCGGCATGACTAAACGCAAAAGGCGCACGGAACGCTGTTACCTTCCCACCAAAGGTGGTCCCTATTTTTCTACTTGCATTTTTTACGTGCTTTCGAACTGCTAGGTTGGCAGAAGCTGGGACAAGTAACGGGAGCTCACCCCATTACACGGCACTAGGGATTCGAACCGCTGAACTGCTGACCTTTTGATTAACAAGCTCAGCATCTTAGCCACTGAGCCACCACATCCCCTAAAAGCAGCATACAACATGATATATTTACAGTCACTATAAAAATAGCATGATACCATAAAGAGTTGATCAGATGGTCTCAAAAATCAAATAAATAATTAAATAAACACCTAAAATCCTGCAGTTAAAGCTGACAATTAACTTGACTAATAAGATTTACAATGCTGTATCCCTGCCTTTTAGCTTTACTGTCTTTCTCAATAACCATTTGCAATGCTTTTACCAATTTGTCTGTTTAATTAAATCAGTAAGTTTTCAAATGCATGCAAAAATGTCTAGAGTTAAAGTACGAGAAGGGAACAGAATGATCTAATTGGGGACCAAGGTACTGAAATGAATGTAAACAAGACAGACATTTGAAATAAGTCTCTGTCCTGGTCCTGTTCTGTAAATTGGATCATACCAAGACAGGACAGGAGAAATTAACAGAAATGGCTAACCTATGGTCCTTAAATGCAATAATATTAAGACTTTCCCTCCCCCTATGCCTGAAGAGTAAAGTTTTCGATCCGTGTGTGCTACCTGTTCTAATGTATGCTGGTGAACCATGGACACTAACCTCACAATCGATAAAAAAGCTATGAATGGGGCAAGGAACCATGGAAAGATACATGCTCAGTATCACAAGACAAGATAGAAAGACCTGCACACGGATTAGAGAAAAAACGAAAATACACAAGGCCACCAAGAGAATAAAAGAATGAAAATGGAAATGGGCTGGTCACATAGCAAGAAGAACTGATGGCAGGTGGACCAAGGCAGTCATAGAATGGATCCCACTTGATAAAAAGCATCCACAAAAGAGAGCTAGAACCAGATGGATTGATGACATCAGCAAGTATTGCAGGGCCAAATGGCAAAAGAAAGCTCAAGGCCGTATTGGTAGGGAACACACAGAAGAGGCCTCCATCCGACAATAGATAGACTACAGCTAGAATGAATATTAAGAATTTACTTTGGGCTCTGACTCCCACAGATGAAATGTAACCAAGTAGATCAGGGGTCAAATCTAAAATTTGTTACTACCGGTTCTGTGGGCATGGCTTACTGGGGGGGTAATGTGACTGGGTGGGCACGGCCAACTTTTATTTTATTTTATTTTTAAAAGCATTAAAATACTTTTAAAATACTTTTAAAAGCCTCTGACGATCAGGCAACTCAGCTGGGATCGTCAGAGGCTTTTAAAGGCTTTGTTTTTTCTACAGCCTCTTCGGCCGAAGAGGTTGCAGAAAAAAATGCTTTTAGAAGCCTCTGACGATTAGGCAACTCAACTGGGATCGTCAGAGGCTTTTTAAGGCATTTTTTTTTCCTACAACCTCTTCGGCTTAAGAAGTTGTAGAAAAAATGCTTTTAAAAGTTAAAAAAAATAGCCTCTGATAATCACGCAGCTCAGCTGGGCATGGGGGGAGGGCACAAGGATTTTTGCTACTGGTTCTCTGAACCACCCACCGCCATCACTACTGATCCGGTCCGAACCGGGAGCATTTCACCCCTCAAGTAGATACAATTATTTCGGGTGGGGGGGGGAATCACAAAATCAAAGCAAACTTATCTTCTTAACCTATTTTTGCATTACTTTACAGGGTCCTCAAATACTATACAAATGGGTGGCTCACCCTGGAATGTGGTGCTGATAAATTTCGTATCTCTTCCTCAATTTTAGCTCAGCCTTCCACTAGCAAGCAACAACATGTATATAAAAATACAGATCATTCTCATTTGGTAACCACAGTTTGGACCAATCCTTATGCGAAGCAGTTGCTGAAACCATGAATACATTTACAATCTTACTTCAGTTTCCCTTTGCTTACAAACCTGCGAAGATTGCAAATGCAAGGACTGGTAGTAAAGTTAGTTTTTCATCACCATTGTTAACTTTGAATACTCACTACCTGTATTTAGCATTGGTTATTTTAAACCGTTTGCAATTGACTTAATTCCATACATATAAAAATCAGGTAACTTACCAAGCATATTGGTAGTTTCCATTGTGTGAAAAGAGACCAGGGATGGCATTGATGATTGAGAGGCTGTCTTTCGGTGCTCTGCTCCTTCTTGACCAACTGTGACAGAATGTATTATATCGCCTAATAAAAGAGTAAAAAACTTACGATAACTATTACAAACATTCCTATACTTGAAGTTATCAAATATACTCATCCCCCCTTTTTAAAGAATAATTTTGGGCTTTTTAATAGTGCAGAAGTCCAAAAAAAGGATAGCCTTAAAGCAACCCAAACTTTTACAATGAATATAAATATAAAATATGGGAAAATAACATCAAACTATTTTTAATTAAAATTAAAAATAATTAAGATCAGAACAAAAGGATCTATTGGCATGAGCACAATGATATAAAATGACAATGCCATCACTTTATGCTACATTTACAAACTCAGGATAATGAAATTGAAATTTTGCCAAAACATAAAGTGCAAAGAAAAGACAGCAAAGGAAGTCTCAAACCAGTTTTGCTTATGACGACGACATGAATATCACCTATGGGGAAAAAAACAGAATCAAGGTAAATACAATGAAAATAAAATGGTAGAATAAAGTATTACCTCCTCCAATAGAAGAAGATGGAGACACTATTGATTCATGAGATTTAATGGTCATTTTACTACTTCCACTCTCAGTAAATGATGAGACATGATCAGTAACAGAAATAATGTTCACTGTGCCAAAAATTGCTGAAGAGCCAGAATGAATGAGTGGAGTTGTTCCTCGGGCAGAGATCAACTCCGGTTTACTCACTGAAGAGCCAGAATACAGATTTACACTTGTGCCCTCCTCGGTAGGGGCAAGCGAAGAGTGGTCAGTAGAAGAGACAGAAGATATAAGCCCATCACTATCTGAACTCATACAGTTCATCTTAGGTTAATGCAATTGTGAGAGGAGAATTAGTAACTTCTGCTTCAGGCATAGAATACTGCAGTTTAGTACGTCATCCTAGCTATTACCCAGTTAGCCAATTTTATAATCTGCGATTTCATTATGCAGCAAAAGATTTAATTTCTATTTCTATAACCATCCCAAAACAAGTGACTTGGTGGCATACATCTGGGAGGTGTACATCATTTTAAAATGATTGTCTGAATAAGTCCTTAACCAGTTACATCAGCAATCTCCAACCTTTTGGGTACCAGGGACCAGTTCTGTGGAATATATACATAACATAGATACATACTTACATATATGGATGGTATAGTGTACTTACGTTATAGTACTCCAAACAATGCATTGAAAATATGTCTTAAATTGAAAGGGGAGAAATTTGAACCCAACACTAAAAAAAAATTGTGTCAGATATAATGATGTCAGTGATGAATGTTCTTCTTTCTGTCTGCCTCCCCCTCCACAAGTTAATTAGCTTTTGCAAAAAATGTCATTTATTTAGGTATGGCTTGCCAGTTAATTTCCAGGCTATGCTCCTTCAACCCAACAAGAGAACAATGAAGAAATTGAGAGAGATCCTCTATGATTTGTACAAACATCTTGATAGTAGTGCTGCAGCAATCATTGATGTAAGTAGTCTATACCATAATGAGGTTACCTATAGGTTTTGCCATAACTTTGAGTAGATTTTTTTCTGATTTCATATTGTTGAAAGGGATCACAGAATCCAATTCCCTGCCCAATGCAGACATCCAGATTAAAACATTAAGATAATGTTTTAAGATAATGTCTGTCTAGCCTCAGACCCAGCTTCAAGTATGAAAAGGTAGTGCTGAGATTCCTTTGATTTGAATTTTTATATATGTGAGACAAAGATGCAACCATTAATTTTGGGGGCTAAATTAACCCTATAATTAATATTTTTTAAAATTTTCAGGCAACCATGGATATTCCAGGTTTGAATCTCAGTCAGCAAGAATACTATCCTTACGTGTACTACAAGATAGACTGCAACTTGCTTGACTTCAAGTAGCTTCTTTCTGAACCTAGTGATCCTCTCATAGTGTTGATGTACAAGCAAAAAAGGTTGAAGAATGTCGCTCCTAAATCTCTCATAAACCCGTGCTTGCTTCTTTCTCCCTTTGCATAGGAGAACAATCCCCTTGGTGGTTGATCCCTTGACATTTTCTTTTTAAAGAGAAATGTAATTATTGTTTTTAATAGATCAGGTATGTAATTGTATATTGAGAGAATCAAGAGTGTATTTATAAATAGTCCTTTATTTAAAGAGTAAGAAACAAAAAGAGGTCATTCCGCTTTCATGCCATGCCTCATCAAGACCTTGTTTATATGACAAGATAGTGGGGAAACATGCCATCGTTCACTGTGTTTTTCATAGATGTGCTATAAACATTGTAATTGAATTGTGATGTAAAATATGTGCAGACTGATATTCAGTCGATGCTTTCTGAATGTTTTAAGTTTACAAGATACTAAGCACTGCATCCACCTAAGAAAATAAAAACACCTGTACAATTGTCTTGCCTTTGTACTTTGTTCTTATAGGCCACTGTAAAAAAGTATAGGGAGAATTTCATGGGATATGAGTCACAAGCAGTCACATTTACACTGGTCATACTGAAACTTATGGCCCCACTTTCCCCCCATAAACCTGGTTTAAATATAGAATAGAATAGAATTTTTTATTGGCCAAGTGTGATTGGACACACAAGGAATTTGTCTTGGTGAATATGCTCTCAGTGTATATAAAAAGAAAAGATACGTTCATCAAGAATCATAAGGTACAACACTTAAATGATAGTCATAAGGTACAAATAAGCAATCAGGAAACAATATCAATATAAATCGTAAGGATACAAGCAACAAAATTACAGTCATACAGTCATGTATGGGTGGAGATGGGTGGTGGGAATAATGAGAAGATTAATAGTAGTGCAGACTTAGTAAATAATTTGACAGTATTGAGGGAATTATTTGTTTAGCAGAGTGATGGCATTCGGGAAAAAAACTGTTCTTGTGTCTAGTTGTTCTTGTGTACAGTGCTCTATAGCGTCGTTTTGAGGATAGGAGTTGAAACAGTTTATGTCCAGGATGTGAGGGGTCTAAATATTTTCACAGTCCTCTGACAGTATACAGGTCCTCAATGGAAGGCAGATTGGTAGCAATTATTTTTTCTGCAGTTCTAATTATCCTCTGAAAGTCTGTACAAAGATTGAACACAATATTGTACAAAGGCAAGGGTGTCATCATGTGATGTATCACAACTTTTTCCCCCTTCGCTAAATCGGGCATGGCCAGCGTGTGACGCATATGGCCCACGGGCCATGAGTTTGACACCCCTGTACTAAGGTATGGGTTGTTTCAGTATGCATTAAATAAATCATTGTTTACTCTTTTACGCTGAGATACAAATCATGATGTACAAGTTGCCATGGCTGTCTTTACAGATGTGATATATGCATGCATACAAAAGCTTTAAAAATGGGAATCGTGAGAAGGTAACATGCAGCAGCCCATCTTGACCGTTGATTGGTTGGTCACATTAGCTTTATATTCAGATAGTCATGGGGATTGCTGTGCAATTAGAGTACTATGTTTCCAGTGCACTAGGGGGCACCCCTGTGCCATTTTAAAATAAACATGGTAAATGGTATTTCAGGGTTTTAGTACATGAAAAACACAACACTAGAAACTTCCTCATGTTTCTATACCATTCTTCTTCTGCCTTTCGCTAAAATAGAAAGTATAGGTCTACAGCTAACAAGAATACATTGCTCAGCTACAAGGAGCGCTTGTAGCTGAGCTACAGTGCTTTTGAAACATGCTGTAGAATGAAAGGTCTGAACTTCTAGAACACTTCAGAAATTGTTAAAAGGCAAAATATCTGAATATACTCTGACAATTGCCACAAACATATTACATATACATAGTGAAAATTACTACCATTAAAGACTCTATTGTGAAGTGCAACAAAGGATTAATGGCCTGGTTAAACCACACAGAGACAGCAAAATAAATTGACTGATACATAAGTTGTAAATAAAGTTTAAAACTACACAAAATCCTGAGAAATGAAGAATATATTTTCTTTAAAAAAAAAAAAGAATACCTGCTACTTAGACCTCTTGTACAGGAAAATCAACGTAATGGTTTGGTGAAACAATTATATCCTCATTGCTAAAATATATGCAATTAAGCATTATATTGCATCAGTGGTGGATTTCAAAATTTTTTACTACTGGTTCTGTGGGTGTGGCTTGGTGGGCGTGGTATGACTTGATGGGCGTGGCAGGGGAAGGATACTGTAAAATTTCCATTTCCACCCCACTCCAGGGAAAGGATACTGCAAAATCCCCATTTCCTCCCAATCAGCTGGGACTTGGGAGGCAGAGAATAGATGGGGGCGGGGCCAGTCAGAATTTTTACTACCGGTTCTCTGAACTATTCAAAATTTCACTACCGGTTCTCCAGAACTGGTCAGAACCTGCTGAAACCCACCTCTGTATTGCATGCCTTAAGCCTCCTGCCTCAGTATAATATTCCACATGGATCAGAGCTATATTTCTCCTTAGTAATTTTGTGTGCTTCCATAAATTCTTGCTGTTCTTAATTTTAAGACACACAAATCTGTGAGTTCTGGAACTCTCTTCAATATTTATTTTGAAATGTGTCTGCAAATCATAGTTTACTTATTAAATGTAAATGCCGCCCATCTCACTCTCAGGTGACTGGGCAGCTTACAACATGCTAAAAACAACAGTATAAAACATTAGAACATTAATTATTAAAATTAATAAAAATTAGCCAAGACTGAACCAGTAAACAACAGGGTGGGGGCTAAAGTATTTTTTTTAATTCACTAGCAAACTCCATCAGGGTATAATTGGGCCCCCAGACCAATCAGCAAAACCAGGTTTTGAAGCCCCTTCGGAAGGCCAAACGGATGGGGGCAGATCTCACCTTGACGGACACAATGTTTCAGAGAATAAGCCATGTCAGAAAAGGCTCTTCTGGACCCCACCAGCTGGAATTCCTTGACAGATGGGATCTGCAGCAATAGTTGCTGATTGTTTGAAAATTTCAGCACAGTGGTGGCAGTTACATTCCCTTGGTACAGCAGTTTCTTTTTTCCTTAGCATATATGCTTGTAAGTGTGCTCACAGATGAATGCATGGTTCACCCAATCTCTTGGATATAAGATATTTCTCCTGATCAGATTAAATTTTTATTCTGCTCATTTTTCCTACAAACTGACTGGACCAGAGGTGGGTTTCAGCAGGTTCTGACCAATTTTGGAGAACCGGTAGTGGAAATTTTGAGTAGTTCAGAGAACCGGTAGTAAAAATTCTGACTGGCCCGCCCCCATCTATTCTCTGCCTCCCAAATCCCAGCTGATTGGGAGGAAATGGAGATCTTACAGTATCCTTCCCCTGCCACGCCCGCCAAGCCACATCCATCAAGCCATGCCACGCCCACCAAGCCACACCCACAGAACCAGTAATAAACATTTTTGAAACCCACCACTGGACTGGACATTATTTTCTTTATTCTTGTGAAATTTGCTTGAACTTGAACATTTGGATAGCAATGACAAATATCACTTTGTTAAAAGTTGTATTTTGAGTGGCAAGGGAATCTGTTTTACAGTTTGGTTTCCTATCAATCTGACATATGCTTCGTTTTGCGGCTCTATGTGAATGATGGCTAATCTTTTTGCCGTAGCGTGTGAAAAGTGGGGGGAGCACGGGGGGATTGTGTGCTTGCGTGCCCACACCCATAATTCAATGCCCCCCGCGCCCTGCCTTCCCACGCATGTGTGTGTGCTCCCCCCGCACTCCCCCGCTTTTGGTATGCAATGGCACAGCCCATTTTTCACTCTCCCCAGGCTCCAAAGGCTTTCTAGGAGCCTGGGGAGGGCAAAAACAGCCTTCCTCACTCCCCTGGAGGCGCTCTGGAGGCTGGAAACAGCCCATTTCCTGACTTCTGGTGGGCCCGGAAGGCCCGAAAATCAGCTGGCCGGCACACACACGTGTGCTGGAGCTGAGCAAAGGCAACGCTCACGTGCCCTCAGATATGGCGCTGCGTGCCACCTGTGGCACCCGTGCCATAGGTTCGCTATCACGGCTCTTTGCAATGCAATATTTCCATTGCAGCCAGAGCACATAAACTGATTCTAGAATTTTCTGACTTGGAGGAAAGCCATTTCCTTTTTTCCTCTTTTAGTTGTTGTTTCTCCTCCCTTATTCTCTACCTGTCTCACATTCCTCTTTATTTTTCAAAAGCTGCCAGTTTAGCACAGGTTGCTCCTTAGAATTATTCTCTGTTGCCAAGCAACACCATCTTCTGCACAGCTTAGTATCCACAAGCTGTCAGGGAAGAATATCCTCCTTGAGTAATAGTCATTGCAGAGTCTACAGTGTCTGATTTGAATATGTTGATCTGAATTAAAGCAGGGAGTCTTTACCATCAGTCTTCATTTTTCACATTTATCAGCGTGGAAGGCGGCCTCATCGACGTGGAACCGGTCACCTCTGGAGTCAAGCTTGGAGAGGATGTTGCATTTACATGTGTCTGTGATATTGCTATGGTAGAATGATAAGAAAAAGTTTAATTAGCATGTCTTTAACGTTACCTGTGCTATTCGTTAGTTTATTAAACTATGTTGGTTATTTTGTTTGTGAATAAGTATCTAATATCTCAGGCTGCCACATACTGTATCATTTAGGCAGACAATTTTTAACGTATTATTTAAAGAGATTTTTTTCCCATTACAGCATTTTGGTTTTTTAAAGTGAAAATGCTGCAATGAAATCTATTCAGTGTGCTGTTTCATATTTGAATGTTAGAATTAGAAAATTGTTTATTTGGCCATCTAATCCAAACCTCTGCACAGTGCCGCATAATCCACACCACAATTCCTTAACTCCAAAAATAGATAATTTTTAGATAATCTTTCAAGCATCTCAACAGATCCCAGCTTCCACTCTTACAATGAGATTACAGCATCCACACTTCTCTGTGCCAAATAAGCTACAATTCCAGGTTTGTTTCTTCACCAGTTTCTTCTAACCTTATGTATGGCATAAGGGAAGATGGGAAGGCTGCGTCCCCATCCTCTTTCTCCTACAAACCCAATCATCTGGCAGCAAGGCCAGACAGATAAGCACTGTTTGGTTGTTTTGGACCCGAAACTAAAATATAATAATGCTGGACAGTGGGAAAAGGACAAGCTGGCAACTTAGATGCCTGCTGGCAATGTAAGGCTGGCTGGGGGATACCAACAAGTGAGCAGCAATGGGCTGCTTTGAAAAAGAGGCTGAAATCTAAAATCTTTTAAAGCCATCGAGAGATTTCGATGCGAGGTGTGGCTGGCTGGAGAGTACTGGTGGTTGACAGCTGAGTCCTCTTCCTACCTGGATGGAGATGGCCTTTGAGATATGCCAGGTTGGGGAGCATTGATGCAATTTTCATTGCAATTCACATTTCCCTTTGTTTCCCTTGTCCTTGACAAAGTGGC